AGGATCCCGATCCAGTAATTTTGGGCTAGTCTCGCGTCAGTCCTGAATTAGGCATGGTAAAGGTGGGTTCTCAATATGACGCATTGTTTTTCATGCGCTAGCATCACAACTGGGAGTGCTGTATAAGCCAATCGGAGTATGCGTCAATGCGTCAGAATAGAAATGTTTCCTAATCTGATGCATTGACGCATGCTCCCATTCGTTTATACAGCACTTCCGGTCATGATGGACGTGCATGCATCATATTGAAAACCCGCCTTAACTCTTGGGCGTGTACAACCCACCTTACTATCAATTTTTTTGTACTTTGTTGTCAATTTTTTGTGACAAAAAATTATAGTTATTACGTATGCAAATGTATTACTTTTTTTGTATAGTTCACACCTGACAAGTCTTTGCGTGAGGAGATATGCTCTTTATTCATCAAATGTCCAAACAATAAGTTTGGTTGTGGTTGGGTTGATACAATCGGTGCTCTTTCTGAACATGTCAGCTGCTGCATGCACAGAAAACAAGAATGCCCTCATTGTAATGAAGATTTTGCTATGACAGAGGTTAATAGTATATAATTATTTTGAAATGAACACAGCATTAATTTCCTTATAAAGAAGTAAAAGAATTCTTTGGGTCTTTTACTTCCTTTTATGGAAAGGTATGACTTGTTAATGTTAAACTTATATAGCTACCCACAAAATACTTTTTATACCCACATAGTCTAAACTTTATGAAATGTGTTTGTCCACATTTGTCTGAATTTTCAATGTTTTTTAGTATCAGCCACATGTTGATGAATGCCCAAAGATGATCGTCAATTGTCCTTTGAAAGATCACGGATGCAAGGAAACAAATGAAGTATGTTAAAAATGTAAGCTATGTATTTGAATTCAAATATCTATTGTATAGATGACTAGAGAGGAATGCATTAATCACTTGTCATCAAATGATGGTCTCTTTGATCATGTTGTAATGATGGTTGCTGCACTCTCTTCTCTACCAACCAATCCATTGAAGTCTGAGTCTCTTGAGTCCTTTGCCAATCTTGTTCGAGGATCATCTGGGTCCGTAGAAGATGGTGTTCGTGGAGCTATTGAAAGTTTCGTGACAATGGTAGCAGAACTTATAGCAGAAATAACAAAGAAAGATAGCCAGATATGCACTTTAGAGGATAAAGTGGCACAACTGGAAACTATTACAATGAGTTTTTGCTACGGTAATTTTGATGGTTCTATGGTCTGGAAGATACCTCAGTTCTCTCAGCGTATGGATGATGCCAGGACTGGGAAATACACTTCAATATTTTCTCTTCCGTTCTACTCCAGTCGCTATGGTTACAAGATGTGTCTTCGCCTCTATATCCTGGGGGATGGTATAGGAAAGGGCACTCATATGTCTTTGTTCTTTGTTGTCATGAAAGGAGAGTACGACGCTCTACTCCCGTGGCCTTTTACACACAAGGTTACCTTCAAGCTAATGAATCAGTGTAGTAAAAGAGATGTTGTTAAAGCCTTTCAGCCTGATCCATTGAGCTCTTCATTCCAGAAGCCGAAATCCGACATGAATGTTGCTAGTGGATGTCCTCGTTTTGTGTCCAAGAATGAGCTAATGGAAGGTGGATTCATTGTTGATGATACGATATTCATAAAAGTCAAAGTAGATACAGCAACCTAGCATTCTTCATGAAGGATGAAGCATACAACAGCAACTTGCACAATTTTAACCATAAAACCACTCTTATTGTTATGTTATTATTATTAAAATCATTATTACTCGTAAGCCTCATATACTATTAGCATCTTTCTTTTTATTGAAGTTGCTATATCATTATTATTATCATTTATATTATTATTATTATTATTAAAGCTTTACAGAGTCTACAGACACAAAATGACGCAAAGAAACATGAAAGACTATAATTAAAGGATGAGTCTGAAGGACACATACCACCGTGTGGCANAGACTAAAAAATTAAATATAATATGTACAGCTATGAAATTTGATTAGTCTTAAGATGAGTCTAGGCAGCGATAGGAGTCCACATTCTAATCCTAGGAATAGCTGAGTAGCTAAAAATAGACTTAGGCTATAATAGTAATCATTTCAGTAATATCAGAATTTCAAAATTACATCCTAAAAATTATTACACAACTGCGGCATATTATCACT